TGGGAAGATGGTACACCCTTAGTAGTTGCTGCTCTTCTTTGGCTTCTGATTGCCTGTGCTGGCAGGCGCAGGGCAGACCTGGCTTCAAGTGGGACAAAGGAGTTGAGTGAAGAGCAGTCTTGATTGCAGTCTTCATGAGCTGAGCCCCAAAACTTTTGCCTTCTGGTCATGTTGCAGGCTGCAACTTGGACTTGTGTCATGCACACTAAGTGTGAAGAACTGATCATACCATGCAATTGGAGAGCTTGGAGACACATATGCATCAGCATGGGTTTACATGTATATGCATACTTAGAGTGTGGAGGGAGTGTGAGTACAATTTCAAGTATGGATTCAAACCCACCCTTAGTTGACTCTTCACACAATCTCAAAGCATTTATTAGTGTAATAAAACTGCAGGTGATGTGAAAATATATTGTTTCACTCAAACCTGAGTGCTCTCAGGTTCAGGAATTCTTTTTTTTTATTTAATTTTCCTGAATGTATTTGACTCTTCCTGCCTCACTGCAACCTCATGTTTGCATGGGCAGCTTACTGACTCAGTACACTTCCTTTTTTGCTGATAACTCCTCAGCACCCATTTAAGTTGCTGTTTGTATTGTGTGTTTTACAGCTTGGACGTATTTCTTTCTAGCAGGAATTTTACGTTGTCCCTGTCTTCCTGGCTGCTAGCACATTACTATAAATGTTCCTTGTTAACTGTATTTATATCATCTTGTGTTGTCTAATCTCATACTTCAAAACAAGTACTGAAACCTGCGAGTTTCTCTTAAGCCCTTAGCAGCATTCAGTGAGCACCACTGTCTGTTTAACATCAGGCTTTGGGCAATGAAAAAGAACATTCACATCTGCTTCTCCCCACCTTTAAAAACAGAAATAGATGTATAACAGCTTTTCGCAGCATCTTTGATCCAGGCCGTCTTTGCTGTTTGAAAGGTAGTCCTGATCACTGCAACATGGTCTCCTGACTGAAGGTCTTTTCATTGGACCAGAAGCTTTAAATGCATGGGCAAGACTTTACAGAATCTGTAGAGCTGGAGCTGAAAATACTCAAGATTTTATTTTTATGTATTCCATCCCTCTGGGAACAGTGCATTGGCAGATATTTATCCCAGACGTATTCAGCAGGAGGTTTCCTTCAGCTAACATGCATTAGGAGATTGCTGTTCTGTTTCTCTGAAACAGGCTGCTGTTTCTTTTCCCTAAAATGCATGTTAGCCTTTCCTAGGGCTGCCATAATTCTGCTTTTGTTTTTTAAAAACATCTTGCTTTTTTGGATTGTCCAAACCAATGCTAGATGTTCACACCATTAAATTAAAAAAAACAAGAGATGTTTCTGCAGGTGTACTTATGCCAGAGGGGACTTGCTCAGCCTCAGCAGCCTGCGAGGGCGGCAGCAGGAGCTGGGAGGTGCTGGATTAGATGCTGAGGGCAATGGATAGATTAGTGAGGATGGAGGTGGAGGTGTTCCTGGTGTACAGCCTGGGGTGGGACTGGTTAGGAGTTGTGAGGAGGCATTAGAGGTTACCATGGGACCTGTCCCCTACTTGGGCATCTCTGAGCAAGACCCTTGTTTTCAAGCAGGGATGCACACAAGGGGCTGCTCTCTGCTCCCCAATTCCCTCACCCTGTCCTCCTCCCCTCTTTCACCATTAGAAACCTGCATGGATCATTGCACCCTCGACATCAATGAATCTCTGCTCCGTCTCAGAGTTTTGCTCATGTAGATTCAAATACAAGGGCTGTAGGCTACGGAGAGGTGTTTGGAGAAAACTTGGGATGAAATGTGTTATGTTATTGTTAGTAAAGCTGCTTGCAAAGCCATGCAAACTAACAACACTTTTTTCTAAGATTTACTAAACTAAGTCTTGCAAACTTTAGTAGATGCTGAACAAATCAAAAATTACGTTTTAGAACAAATGATCGTTTGCTTCTTAAAATAAAGTACATGGGCTTTATTTCTGTGTGTTTGGGGAAGGTTCTTTGTCCTAATAAGCTAAAATTTTCCCTCTATTAAGTTATTTTAAGATTGTTTCACTAACAATTAAACACTTCATTTAGAGGCACTTCAAAAGAACAAGCAAGTTTGTACTTAAGCATATGTATAAGTTCTTGTCACACATTGCTGACCTCTGGTTGTGGTCTGCCTAGGTTTTAAAGGAAGTTCCACTGTAGGACCAGTATGAATCCATATGCATTAGGAGAGCAGTATTAATGGTTGCAAGTTTTCCCCTCTGATTCCTTTCCCTAATTATAAATCTTTATTTCTTTTTTTAATGGCAAAAAATGTATAATGCATAATATGTCTAGTCTGGAGAGGTTTAGTGTTTGGTGATGTACGGTTTTTATTGATGTAAAATAATTTGAAGATTATGCATGATCCAGAACTTAGTTATGCTTTCAGTTGCTGATGCTGTAAATTTCAGTATTTTTCTTCCAGTTTGGTCATTCTAGAAATAACATCTAAAGCTGTTTCCCACATCACAACTGAAGAGTTGTCATGTTTATTTAACCAGCTCCATCTGGCTTCCAGTAAGTCCCAAATTTCAGTTTTTCACAGCCGTGCATGGATTTCTGCCATGCCCACAGAACACAGAGAAAATTTCTGCTAGGCCTGGTTTTGTTTGTTGAAAGAAGAGTCCTTTTCGCAGAAGAGGGGATTAAATATTTTTCAGATCATGCCCTACCTCACAGATTCCTCACTCCTTAGAGGAGAAAATACAGATCTTCTGGCACAGTCCCACTGCTGGCACCACTGCATGTGGAAAAGGTTTTTCGGTGGTGTTTATTTGGGCCAGGCTGGAGATGATGAGGTCAATCAGCTGAAGCAGCCAGTGCCAAGCTTTCAGCCACCACACCGGCATGCTGTGGGGGCCAGGAAGGTGTGAAGCCCTGCCACCACCTCGCAGCCCCCGGGAGAGCTGGTGCCCTTGGCCTTTGGACAGCTCTTTGGCACACGAGGTTCAGAGCGTCGCCTCTGCCACTCGAATACCAGCGTCCTCAGCCATGCAGCCTGTGGTCTATGCTTACCTTGTTAACCTCTCTGCTACAGTTTAAAAAAGAAAAGTAAAATCTTTCATATGGTCTTTCTGCAGGTACATCACACCGGAAGGGAATTACTGATGCTCGCGACTGAGAGCTCACAGCAGGGCTGCAGACAGGAGATGCCACGTACAGCACAGCCTAAATGCAGATTACGCAGAAAAATATGATTTTAAGAGTAGAGAAGTACTGATAACAGAGGAAGTATTTTCTGAGTGTTTGCAATTAAAAGCATCCCCCGCAACAGTTAACGAGTTGTTATTAGAAGTTGAATGGAGAAAAGTCATGCATGCTTCTCTGATTTTAGGAATTCAGATTTTATTTACAATGCAAGACACAACCCCCATTTCATTTCAAAAATGCAACAAACTCTCTTTCCCCAAGTCTGCCAAATCATCTGATATTTTAACTTGCTTCTAGTAAGAGCTTACCTTGATCCTGCATTCTACCTGACTGCCTGGGAGAGTTGGAGATGGGCAGGGGATGAGCCGCAGCAGGCAGGGGAACATGAGAAGCGCTTGAACGAAATGCAGTGAGCAGCGGCCATGCTCCCCAGTTGCTTCCCAACCCGCTGTGTGTGCAGCAGACCCAGACGCGTCTGTGCAGAAGGTCATGCTCCAGACCTGAATTGCAGAGATGTCTCAGGGCGCTGGGGGGAGGCACGTTCGAAATGGCTTGTTAAACAGGCACAGGAAGGAAAGGACAGAAGATAGTATTACTGCTGATGAACTGCTTTTTTACTGTTTAATGGTGTTTACTACGTGTGTGGATTCAGGCTTACAAGAAGACAAACCTGCTCCCCCAGCAGATAGAGTGGAGGTTGTCCCCCTGGAATATATAGGCAGAGACGTTTCTCTGTTAGCTTGCTGGCTAGTGTCACTGTAGGGAGTACAGAAAAATATTTCTTCAAAGCAATGTAAAGGGAGTCCTGTCAGCGAACTGTAGTCACGTGTATGGTAAGAAGTGTAATCTGAGAGGAAAGAGAGTTAAGACATTACGAATAGTTGAAGGAACAAGTAACTTAAGCGTGATCATAAAGAATGTGAAAAATGTCCTATCTCTAACATCTTGTGAGAAGATAAAATCTGTATTGGTCTGATTGGTTTTAGTTATATGAATAAAATATGTACGTAATATTTAAGGCAAAAAAGTTGCTCTATGGGAAATTGAGTCCAAGAAAATGAATGTCTTAAGACATATCTTGGTACTCTGTCATTATATGAGTCTGCTTTGGGTAGGTCTGTTTTGGGTAGGTCTGTTTTGGGTGATGTTTCATTTTTGTAGGATGTGTGTGCTTTAATTAGCTATTTGGAGAAGGAGGACTGTAAATTCTTTTGCTCTGTTTTTCTTCTAGCTCTTACAAGACTGCATTAGGTCTACGTGGATGTCTGCAACTTTGAAATAAACTTTTAGATTGTTTAGTACTCGGTAATTAATTTTGGGGTATCTGTAGTGTAAAAGCAGAATGGTGTATTGGCAAGATTTTGTGCATTCAGATTTCCTTTTCACACTTCACAAAGATTGGGAAAAGTGATGTTTCACAAAGTCCAATTTCTTAATGAGGTTATTTTTCTGGTGTTTATGTAGGCTTAAATTGATCTGACTAGTTTTCTAGTGCTTTCATTTTTTCCCACTACTGGTATACTTACCCATTATTCCTGAAGGAGACCGTCTGATTTTTAAGATTGTGAAATAGGCATGTTTTACTAACTTTTGCAAGCTAGACCCTTAAAGTGTTGTGGTTTTTTTAAACAAGTCTCACTGTTCTGTGATTTTTTTTTATATGAAAGCTTTTATTTTATTCCTTTTCATTCATATATATATATGCGCATGCATATAAATACATTTAGAATGAGCCTTGTAGAAATCCTTGTTGTTATTACATCACTTGTTAAAGTACAGTAGTTGAGTCTACATTGTCCTCACAGTTCAACTATTTTGTTTTGTTCTTTACACAGGAGCCCTTACCAAAGTAAAGGAGAGTAAGCGGCATGTGGAAGAGGGGAAGATGGAGCTCCAAAAGGCTGAGGGCATTCAAGAACGCTGTAACATTATTTCTTTTGCAACACTAGCAGAAATTAATCATTTCCACAAAATTCGTGTGAGGGACTTTAAATCACAGATGCAGCATTTCTTGCAACAGCAAATACTCTTTTTTCAAAAAGTGACACAAAAGCTAGAAGAAGCTCTTCACAAGTATGACAGTGTTTAATCCCTGAACTTTGAGTTGTGGACTTCCCTCAGCATGAACGTGACCCGGGCAGCGGAGCAAACGCTGCTGCTGCTGCTGAAGAACTGTTGCCAGCGGTAGATGGTGGTACAAGGATGGTTTTGTGTTCACCTGGAACCCCGGTTTAATCTCCGATTATGTAGAAAGGAAACAGTTATAGGGCTATGTAGTAGAAACAGTACCACGCATTGTAACTAAGTTATACTGTGTATGCCTACACTACCATTGTAACTTTTTTGAAATAATGAGTATACTATTTGCCTTATTGCTTTTTGAAATACAGTATTTTAGTGCATACTTTGTAGACCTCAAAACCCTTTGGGTCTTTAAGGAAGTTGGCTAGATAAAAGCCTGCTTCAGATGCCTTTTGACTTTCCTAGATTTGGATTTCCTAAATTCAAACAATTCTCTGTTTACAGACTCCTACTAGAGCAGCTATGTGATTCTGTGCCTTTAGACTCTTTTTCCTTTTCTAGTAAGTCACATTTTTATGATTGAATGAATGAAGGGTTGATGCCTATGACAGGAACTGATTATGAAACCTCACACTGACTGGAAAAAAATCAGCTGCCATCCAGTTTGCACAGCAAGTACTGTCTTACAACAAAAGTTGGCTCAAAAAGGAGAACTTACATCTATTCACGCTTTCCCTGAAAATAGAGACTACTTGTTACATGTACTAAGATGTTAAGCACATATACAAAAATACACCACTTAATTCCCTTTCTGAAATGAATAATACAGTGAGGGGTTTTTTTTTCAGTATACAGCATTACTGTGAGTGGAAAGTTGAAGAGCTGGCCTAATAAAAATGATGTATATCAAGGGGATATGAATGCAAGCTACGTGGCTGGAACATTTTTTTAAGTTTGAAATGATCTGCTCATTGTTCAGTTGCTGATTCAGTTTAACTTCAGACTTGCATCTACATTGGCAGTTGTCTGAGTTGAAATTCCACTGTGATTCATTAGTTTACTAAGTTACAAGTTTTCAGGGATGTTCAGTAATATAAATGGCCTGAAATAACTCTTGGCTGAACTGACTTGGAAAACAGGTGGCATTTTTATGTTTGTAACACTCAAGAATTAACAGTTGTCTTAATTTTTTTATAAATATTTTTGACAAGCAGTGTGCATTTATATATATGTAAACACTATCTTTTAAAGAGTTTTCTGGCTTATTTCCCTTGAATTGAGTCTGAAGTCTGTGTTTCTTACCCATTGGTTTCCTTCTTATAGGTCAGTATGAAAGAGGTTTTTTATTTATCCTATCTTTTTTCTCCTAAACAAAAATAACAAAACCTTCCAAGAAAGCAAAATGTTTACTTTTTTGTTTTTAATTAAATTAATCAAAGATAGCCTAAACAAATGAAAGCCTGGAAAAGGAAGTTAAGCAACAGTTACATTTAAGTACAAATCATTCCTCACCTATGCAGCAGAAATGTGCGGTTCTTTTGCTTGATCATGTGAGTTTCTGTAGCTTAACCCCACACCTCTGTTTTAGAGGAATAAATGTAAGAATGTAGTTTTGGTTTTAAGATTCATCCCCAAATGCTTGGAGACTGCTATTTTGCGCAAGTTGTGTTTGGCAGTGCTTCTAGTACGTACCCAAAGAAGTAAAATATGGAATAATGGCAAGAAAAAAAACAGTATTTGTAAAAGAAAGGACAATCAGTGAGGAAAGACTCCATTTCCAGGCTATTAAGAGTGCTGCAAACAACAAGGTTGAGCATATAATAAGGACCATAGTCATAGGGCTGGCTTGCTCTTTATCTTCCTCGTGGTGTCTCATTCTACATTCAAAACCACCACTTCCCCTAACAGCAATTCCCAGCAATACTCCAGCTTCCCATATGTCATTTAGTTATGTGAGATAGTGATGAGCTAGGTTTGAGCTGAGTTCCATGGCTTATGTTTGCTTAAGCCAGATACTGTTCTATTAAATGTCTTTGCAGTAATTAGATCAGACTACAATCAAATTAATGCTACATGGAGGTATTAAGACCTGTTCAGAAATTTATTTTCGTCCAGTTGAAGTATTCTAAGAGGTTAGTATTAATGACATGTACATGTCCAGGAGGAAATTAAGCTGTGATATGTATACATACAACATTATCAGACAGGTACAGTTTTCCCAAATAAACTGTCATGGCCTTCACCTTACTTTCTCATTTGTGAATTTTTGGGGCGGGGGGAAAGTGGGGATGCTAACTGGTTAAACTTGAGGTACCAAAAAAGCTTGACTGGAATTCTGGATCTGAATTGTTGCAGAGTTTGGAAAGGTTAAAATCTGCATCCGTATTAGCATCTTCCTTTTTTCCTCACTCATTATAGAGTTGGAGTAAAACTGATGTAGGGAGCCTGAACTCCATTAATGCTTGCTGCACTACGTGAGAACTACAGTTTTAATTTTATTTGAAACAAGTATGACATTGACCACTCATGACTGACGGACTACTGGACGGTTTGGTCTGAGATCCCAATGTACTCTACAGTAAAGTGAATGTATGTTGTGTGGGACTTTGGAAGCATTAAAGGAAAGCTAATGGAATCCTTTTGAATAAATGAATGTGGAGGAAAGCAAATTAGCTCTATAGCATAATGTTAAATGCCTTTGTTTTATTCCATTCCTGTAATTTGTTTCTGATGCATCACAATTTTTGCATTGACAAGTAGTAAGTATCTGGTATACTTGTTGGGGGTTAGAGAGGTTGAACTGAAAGCTGCAAGAAGATCCACTGAGGTATTGGTTTCTATTAAAGTGCTGAATCCAATGAAAGCTGTGAAATGAACCCATCAGGGGAATGTATCTACTTAGAATCACCAGCAAGTGGAGTATGAGTAATCATAGAATCATAGAATGGTTTGGGTTGGAAGGGACCATTAAGGTCACCTAGTCCAACCCCCCTGCCATGGGCAGGGACATCTTCAACTAGATCAGGTTGCTCAGAGCGCCGTCCAATCTGACCTTGAACACTTCCAGGGATGGGGCATCCACCACCTCTCTG